GATTGTTGAAGGTACTTTACCTAAGTAGTGATTTAATTATTATTTTGTGCGTGCGTTCATAATGTTGACATTATCTTTTATTCGGCTTACCATTCTTAAATTCAGCTCCCTTTAGATTGTTTTGGACAATTGTACGGACAAGATATACTAATTCTCTTGAAGCCTCTCTTGAAATACCATAGGTCTCAACTATATCCATAAAGTGGATACTGTTGAGTTCAGTTTCGTCAAAACTGGGTGGGAATGGCTCAAAGTTATAAATGTGCTTTGCACCATGGTCTTTTTCAAAAGTGAATGAGGAGTGGTAAGAGAGCGATTCAGTTGTTAGGACTACAGAAATATGTGCAATCAATTGTGAATTAGAAACGAACCTCTTCTGAAGGCAACTATTATAAGCAACTATTAATATGTTTAACTTACCAGAATCAGATTCGGCTTCTTCCATAACAATATCTATATCTGCCTTTCTGTGGCTCTCATACCTTTGGTAATGACTATTAAGTAACCGTAAATTAGAAAAAGGTAGGCCGCAAGAACAGGTATATTTGTTGTAGACTTTTGGAGTAGGCATGGTGGTAAAATATAAATAAAGATATGTGTATATTTTCTTAAATAGAGATCTAAGTCTTTTATATATAGATTTTTTTTCTGCTCATTAGTGCCTGAAGTCAAATTTGAATGCGTAGTAAGTTTTAGTTGAACCTTCCAGAAACTCTTGGAAAGCATATTCTTACTAATACTACCGCAGCAACACTACTTTATGACTAATACACTTGTTCATAAAAAGAGTTACTTATTTTATTTACCTTTCTTTTTATTTTTCTTGCAATTGTCTTTCTTTCTTAAAATATGAACCAAACGACTATTTACAAAATCACTCAAATGCAACAACAAATTTCCCAACTCGAACAAAAAATCGAATCACAGACTCAAATACTTAAGGGATTGATGCATTTATTAGCACCCTCTTTTGCTCAAAGTGATAGTAATGAGATCAACTGTGAAGTTCTTGAAGCAGCTCAACAAGGTAAGAAAACAAGCTATTTCTCTAAAATATGTATTAACTTTTTTTTTTTTGGAAAATGCAGCAAGAGAAGGCGGTATTGCCAACTCTCTTAATCCAAACTTGATGGGCTTCCGAGACATTCCTAGGGTGCTTGAGGAAGCCACAAAAGCATTCGGCTCTCATGGAAAACATAGATATGTTACGCCACGGCTGCGTTTGCTTGCCCTGATCAACTTATTCAAGAAAGAAAGAAATATGACTGATCTCTTAATTGATGATAAAGTGAATGAGAATGACTACGGGATCCTCAGAACAATCGCAAAAAATACCCACGATGAAATGGAGTTAGAGCTACTGAAAACTTTAAAGAAGAATGACAAAGCAGCTGTGTTGCCTTTATGGTCTGAAGTGCCTTCTGCTCTAATCGCAAAATACACATTTAAGCTTGAAAGCAATGCAGCTACTCATGGCTTTCATCTTCAAAGATTTCAGCATTCATGGGCAGCCGGTCTATTGCTCTTCGAAACACACAAGCACAGAAGTAATAAACAAGAAATAAGGCTTCTGTTGTTGAAAGAGAGAATAACTCTAGGATCAGGTATAACAAACGCAAAACATGCATTCAATGAAATTTTAAAATGCCTAAGATGAATCAAAATTATACAGTGAAAACCAAGTTAGTGTTGAATCTCTTCGAAATGAAAAGCCTTCTTTAGAGTACGCAAACCTATATTGTGGTGATAAATTTGAGGATTCTGAAGATGACATCTTTTCGGAATGGAAAACAACTGTCGTCCTTGTTCTCCTTCTCCACCTCTTCCCTCTTCTCAACCTAAGAAAAGGGGCAAACGCAATGAAGACAAAAGCCAACCAGCTAAGTCTAAGCGTATAAGAAGAAGTAACAAAAAATAGTCACGACCTTAAATAATAAAACAATTTCTTCCATCACCTTCTCTTAAAACGTTTGTATTATAGATAAAGTCCACAGCTCCTGAATTCAACCTACATCCAGAAGCTTAAACTCTCTGAAACCTTATGATTGCATAACATCGACTCATGGGCTTACTCATCTTAAGAATTAGACAGTACTTCCAGCGCTTTTTTAACAATCTGAAGAATTGCTGCGCTCCTCTTTGATTGGTATGGAAGAACGCATTTTCCGCAGTAGTTTCTTTTCTCTAACATAACCATAGACAAAAATTGATATACTACTGGGCCTTTATATAGATAAAAACAAAAGTCGAAACCAGAGTTAGAGTGTAAGTAAACATATAAGAGCTACTTGTTTCTTTTTGTTCCAAGTTTTGACATGGAATGTCACATCGCCTGGTCCCGGTACTGGTGAGTGTTGTTTTGGAAAAGAGTTTTGACATTGCCTTGTTCTAATTCAATTAGTTTGTTTGTTATATATGTTTAGATGAGATTAGTCTGCTTCCATTTAAAATCAAAGTATGTTTAATCTATTTTTGCTACTTGAAAGCTAACATAGCGCCTTTTATTTTCTAGATTCCAAAACAAGTTCTTGCTGTCTCTTGATTTATAGTAAGTCTGATATGTTACTACACACCTTCAATATACTCAAAACTAACTTTTTTTCTCTCAAAAAAGAATGCCCTTCTAAAGGAATTGACTATTTATCCGTACAAGACATGCACTTTGTCAGGTAAGTTTGATGGATAGCAAGATAGTGGTTTTTTCCTTTTTTTTATTAAAAAAAACCATATACTACATACAAATTATTTTCTGTGTCTATCGGTGTTGTCTCAATTCCGAATGACAAAGCGAATTGCTCATTTAACACTCTTGCCTCGCTTGTATATTTTTGTTTTTATTAGATTCAAGTAGTGCTTCTTTTCTTTTACTATTTCTCAATAAAAGTATCGTTTTTTCCATTTATAATAAGCGTCTAATTTCTAGTAATCCTAAAAAAATAAGTGACATTACGAACAATGTTGGTAACTAAAGTACCAAAAACTTGGTTGTTTTGTAGCCAAACTTGTTCTAGAAGTAAACAAGTTATTGCTGTTTTGTTGCTAATATTGTTCGAAAAGCGAACAATAAATTTAGTTGTTTTGTTACTAAAGTTGTTCGAAAAGCGTACAAATAATTTGGTAACATTTCGAACAACTTTGTACGTTGTGATATAATCACTAATAAAATGGTCAAATCAATAAATCGATTAGAACCAAAACGGCCAAAAGAAGTCTGCTTTATTAAAGGTTATATTTTGTATTGTATTTATACTGTTTGTATGATAATTGATTATCCTTGATTTGGGACTGAGTGTGTATACACTAGCTAATCGGTTGAATGGATTAAGGTACACAAGAACTGGGAACATGATCAGGGCACAGACCTCGTCTACCATTGGTATTGATGCAGATGTCAATTTGTGATTATGTGATGGTCTGATCTTTAACATGTTTAAACTAAGATAGAAGACATCCATCGAAGCTGCGGATAAAACTGTGATTGAAAGATATATTTATACACGATATTAATACTTGCTCTTTTAAGGCATAACTAGTGTAAGAAGGGATGAATAATGCTGTGTATACAACATACGTTGAAAAATTGATGCCAGCTATTTCTCAAACAACCATTTTGCTGTAAAAATTGGTAATTTTGCGAACAAAAATTGTACGTTTTGTAACTAACTTTTCCGCCATAGTGCTTGCGTGCTTGTCGTCCCTCTCTGGGTGTTGACCCCATCCTCCTGCTCCCAATGACTGTGTGGGAGCGTAGTCGTCTACTCCGGTGGAAGATGGGTTGGCTCCCTGCTCGTCCTGTGCCTTGTCGTTGTGGTCATCCACACGCATCGCGTACTCACTTGCTCTCTTGCCTCTCTGTTGCCTCTCGTCTTGGTGTTGCTGCTGATGCTCAGCCAAATCCTCTGGACTTTGTGCTGAATCAGCTACCTCGGCTCGGCTCTCCACCATCTCCAAATGACCAACGTCATTCTGCTTCTCTCGTGCGCTGGTCCTCCCGGTGGCCAACTCTCTGTGAGATCATGCTGGAGATGGACATGATCTGTCTACCGGATGCTGAGTTCAGTCCCTGTTCTCAGGTCACCTCTGGCCTCACCCTTTTGGAATGGTTGCTCCCTGTCTTCTACAAGCCAGTTGCTCCCCTGTTGCCTCCTCTCTCTACACCTATCTGGGTGTAGTTTGAGTCACTTTTTATTTTTTTTCTTTTCCTTTTATATTTCTTCCTGTTGGAGTTTCTTTCCTTTTTTCAATCTTTATGATTGTTTTTTTTTGTATTCTTTGTTCTAGTGATAGTCTTTCTTACTATTACTGCTCTTATGACTAGACATTTGCCCCATAGGGATCAGTCTTACAAGTCATCTAATAAAATAAAATCTTTTGCCTACACCAAGAAACCACCTTTTTCTCCGGTTTTTATTATTTTTTTGAATTCACTTGCTGTTTTTGAAAAAATCTCTGCACCTGTCCTATTAGACCGCGTTTTTCTTTTTTTATTCCAACTTTGCATATTTTACGCACATTTTGGTACCAAAAACGTCCCAGTCCGACAACTCTAGCACATTCACTACCGCGATTCCCCTCATTTCGACATCGCAACAACATCATCTCGACATTAGATCGTCATCTACAAAAACCAGTTACCAGACAAAGCTCAAACTTTGTCAGATCATATTCCAGCAAGCACTAAAACTACTGGTAAAATTTTAACCCGATCCGGTAAGCGGTTGTTTTCCTCTCTTTCTCCATCTCTGATCCCTGCTGACATGACGCGTACCCTGCCTCGATCTCGAGTTGGTGACGTCAGCACCCCTTCGAGATCAGCTCATCTCGATCTCGAAAAAGACGTTGTCTTTGACTTTGGTGTTTCTGTTCCCCCTCTTGCTCTGGTGTTGACTCTCTGCCAGAAGTAGGTAATGTTGCTTTGCTCTCTTCGGTCCCTTCGGTTTCTTCTCTCTCTCCTTCTCCTCCTGCTTGGTTTGCTGCTTTCCAGGCCAAGTTTGAGCGCTATGGGGAGCGCTTGGCCAACTGGAGTCCTTGGTCGCCGAGAACTCTGCCTCAAGAAGGAGCTGGCTGCCGCCCGTTCCAGAATCTTGGAGCTTGAGTCCCAAGCTGGCTCGTCCACTGCCTCTCCCTTGGAGAATGATCAGGTTGCTGCTCCCTCTTCTTCTGTCTCGCCTTCTGCTGCTGGCTCCAAGTGGGCTCAAGTTGCTAAGAGGAACCCTACGCCTGCGGAGGCCTTTGGTAAGCCCAAAAGTCCGACTCTCTCTCGGTTGCCAAGGCCAAACCCAAGGCTAGGATCACTCCTAAGCAACGTAAGGCCGCTGCTCGCATCTTTCTCGTCTCTTCTCCTGCTGCTACTGGTACTTGTGTAGACGGACCTCTTTATGAGTATGTCTACTTGCCAAACAAGTACCGTGACCGTCTCTCCGCCTTCCGCCGCAAGCTGCGACTGATCGGGTTGGATAACAGCCGTGTACTTGATGTGCACTATCCGGCTCGTAAGTCGTAGCCTTGCTGATCCATTCGGCTACAAGGAGGATCTCCTGAAGGTCATGGCCAAGTACTCGCTTCCGGTCTTGACTGACTTTGATCCTTTCTCTGGGCCAACGTGAAGGATCCTGCTTTGCGTCTTTGGATGCTGATGCTCTGACTGAAAGCTCGTGAGTTCAGCGCTCGTCTTGTCCGTGCTCTTGGTATATCCGCGAACAGTCGTAGACAGGTGGCCTACGACTTTGTTCGTCAAGGTGGTTGACAAAGAACAAGCTGGCTCCGTGGTTGGTCCCTCTCCGCTGTGGCTGGTGCTGGTGCTGTGCTGGTGCTGAATGCCCCTCTGTCTCTGCTTCCAGTATGGATTTTACCTTGGCCGGTGATGGTGAACCGGTCTCCTCCTCTTAATGAGTGAGGTACCTATGCACTCTCTTCGCTTCTATGCCCCCTTCCTCTCCTTCTGCTATGACTTCACCATGACCATATGGAATGCTAATGGTATTGCTCGTCAAGCCATTAGTACGGTTACTGACTACCTCTATGACTCCTCACTCATTTTATCACCGAAACCTGGCTTCTTCCTCCTCTCCGCTTCCCTACCTCTTGGCAACAGTACCACACCTATGGTCAACCTGTTGCTGACTCTTTCCGTGGCAAGATGGGTATCTCTCTTTTGGTCAATCCCTCTTGTCCTATCCTGTTACTCCTCTTCCGTCCTCCTCTCCTTATGTCTTTTCCTGCCAGGTTTCTACCTTTCTCATTCATTGTGTCTATGCCCCTCCTTCCTTGACCGATGATGAGTTTATGTCTCTCCTTATGTCTCTCCCTGCTCGCACCCATGCCTCTCAGACCAATGCGTTCATTTGTGGCGATCTGAATGCACGTAGTGTTCCTCTTCTTGGTGACTCTCGAAGCAACACTCGTGGTACTCGATTGGCTGAATGGGTTGAAGAAGCTGGTCTCTTCTGCTGGAACTCTCTGCTGGCCAAAGGTGTTCCTACCTTGTTCTCTGCTGCTCGCATGGCCAATGCTCAACCTGGGCACACTAGCTGGAGTAGTGTATGTGATGTTTTGATACTAGAGTTATATAATAAGATGATATAGAGACAAAGGTAGATACTTTGAGACTGTTCTATACAATTTTATTGTTGTTCTTTTTGATTATAAATTATTCTAGCATATTTATACATGAAGAGATGTCGGAGTAAGTAGTAGTAGAGTTCATGCAAATGACTGAGTCTCTATTATCATAGACTACTTTAAATTAATTAAATAATGTAAAT